ACGATGTTTTTCTTACTCCTACTCTTAGCAGTGGTTACAGAGATAAGAGAAAATGAACAATTCACCTGGGGTGTAGTGTACATAAATGACGAGAAGATATATTTCCCGTTCATATGCAATTGTTTGAGGTGGTTGTTAATACTCGGCTATCATCATCATCATCGACTTCAATTACTCCCTGAAGTAACTAAAACGGAAAGTGCAATAGTACTATTTTATCGCGAAGTTCAAAAGACGTATCCTTTATTCTAGTCGCATATGGCTAATTTGGATGGTTAGTTTCGTTCATATGGAAGATTTTACAGCCTGCTAAGGAACACTATAGCTTGAATCGTCATGTACAGCCTTTCAGGCCAGCCCTAATATTTTCTCCTCACTGGAGCAAGAAAAATAGGATTGCTGTTACAAACCTACCTGATAGCAGTGCACTTTCGCCCTGAGATCGTTACCACAGTTATCAACGTACTTCATGACCATCTAATCGCTATTAAACCGAATTTTCTCATTTATTAAATACGTTTACCCACATTAAACCAGTTTGGGTCACTTTATTAGTGAACATCGGTCGGTTAATTAACTACTAATGACGTCGCGAAACCCGACTCTAATACAAAACGTGATAAAGCGGCGAGACTTGTTCGTATGACTCCAGAGATGCTAGATGATACTGGAAATGAACTAATGCTTCGGCTAACCAGGATATTACGTAGTTTTAGGGATTGGCGGTCAGCTTGACTAATGTTTAATCAATAGCCATGCATAGATTAGACGGTGTTCTGTACTTCTATAAGGCGATGAGACAACTGTTAAAAGTGAAAGATATGGAAGGCCTAGCTATATATGATATGGTATGTTGAGTAGTATTGAAGTTATGTGGAGAATATTACATAAAGGGGAAAATCAGTCAGTCAAGTTGTGAAGCTGAATAGATTGAGAAAGCTAAAACAAATGTTGTGCATTCCAAGCCATTGCCTTTGTCAACTTAGGATTAAGTTGGATAAGAGTGTTTAAATTAAAAACTGATCTCAATCCATGAAGTCTTTGGTTGTTAGTTTGAGTCAGGTGTGGGTGGGGGTGTAGACTGTCTGACTTAGGAGACCGAGACGTTAAAATCCAATGGCTAGAAAATATTACTGATAGATGAAAATTCTTCCTAATAGCGCAGATATATTCACCCTTTATCAGCTCCTGTATCAATTAAATTCAAATTATTATTTTCATTTTTCTTCTCCCATTACAGTTCTTCTGCACTTTTATGTCTCAGCCTAGTAGCTGTTTCTTATGCTTATGCAACGGGCCCAGAGAAAGTTTATGAATACCCATGCGAATATTGGTCAAAAATGGGATGTGTGCTGATGCATGCAGTATGAGTGCAGTGAGTGTTGCAGACAAAAGCCACCCGTCCCGACAGTATTACAGTCTTGGCATCGATGTTGTTTATAGGAACGAAGACTAAAATGCCAGCAGGATGATGAAATTTTCTTCTTTGTGCATTGGCTGACATCACATGAGTAACCGGGATCATGGACAGTCGAAGTAGGACGACGGGAGGTCTGACCAGGTTATGTGTTTTCTGGCGAACTGCATGTAGTTCATAACCATCCTAGTATCTGGATTGGAATAAACTGGAATCATTCTGGAGGTTTTAGTCACTGATACTCAGCAGTTATGTCATTTAGTGCTACCATCGGATCTTGTTCCAAGAGATTTTAAAACCTCATTCTGATGTCAGCAAACATAGGTGCCTGTAGGCTACAGATGAGTATTAGTGATTTCAGTTGATCGTCTGTCAAACATCTCGATTGAAATCGCTCACAATCACGGTTTACATTATTGACAGAAGGGAGAAAATAATCATTCTCGTTCACGATTAGCTTATGACAGCGATATCGAGAACTAAAGAGGAATGAGTGATCACCAAACTGTTGTCTTAATGTCTGCATTATGGTGTCAAAGGTGTGATAGCTTCGCTTTTGAAACAGCATTATATATGGTCATATTGGTTGAATTCAGATGAAATTTATTTTCGAAGTAGAAAGGGAACTTTCAAGTAATCATCTTGGTCAGCGAAATCTTTTTTAAAATCATCTTCTTAACGCATTAACCAAGTAGATAATGAAAAATTTGCATCAGGACATATTAGGATTTACTAATGTTATTCGAAATCCCACTGACTGGTTGCAACATGGAACTTTGCACCGATGTGTAGCAGTTTGATTCGCCACACTCCACTTCATGTAGCACACAAAGCAAGAGAAGAAAGTAAAAGGGATCGCAAAATAGAGACAGTAAACAGAGATATGAGACAAAATGAATAGTAGTATCGAAGAACAATATAGTTTTATTGGGTAAAATAAGTCACAAGGAGTGGATGCCTCTAACTGCCCCTGCCATTGAGAACGATTTTGTGCCGTAGCACCAATTGTCTCCAGTCATTGGTGTCTACCGTCCCGAGGACCCCAACCAGGAAGTCTACAGCTTCCTACCTGGTTTAAAATAACTGTAGTGAATTTGATTGACTGATGAAGTCCTGTTTTGGTTTGGCCACCACGGGTTCATTTCTAACCTGACCCTATGTCAGTTAACGTTGCCCGTCAAGAAAGGCGATGGCTGGGCAACGCGTAACACATCTCCCGCGATCTCATCTACAGCGGAGTAAGCCGGGGATAATTCCACACTAGAAATTTTCAAGTGCATAAACAACTCGGTAATTTTCATTTCTTGTTCAAGGAATCTGTCTAGTGCAGATGAATCCAGCGTAACCGTTACCGCATCAGAAAACCTGTTGTTACTGGTCATAGAAACTTTTGACACTGGAGCGGGAAAATGCAACAGGGAAACTAGTCATTCCAGGGAAGACGTCGTCCAAAGTGGCTTTGTAATCATAAACAACGCGTTGTGCTAAGCACCAAACTGACTAAATTACCCTATAATTTTAAACAGAAATTCGTTAGTTCAAGTTAGTGCCAATGCTTCACGCTTAAAACTGAAGAGCAGTCACCACAATTAGTTAATTATGAAAATATCACTCCACTTAGCAAGAAGACGAAAAATCAGCCAATTAGGTTTCGTGCTTCCCACTCTTCCTTTCATCATAAGTAGGTGGTCTGTTTGGCCTCAACATAGAACTTGGCACCGAAGTGCACCAGTTCGAGTTGTCACGTTCCAAATAGCACACAAAGGTAGACAAGAAGATGAGTGAAGAGAATCAATACAGTCTGACAAGTATAAGAGTGAAACAGAATGGGTAATGGTAGAAAGGAATATGAAAGATTACAGAGACTGAATACATCTGCGCTGGCCATTGACAACGATTTTGAGCCATGTCACCTATTGTCTCCAGCCATTGATTCCTAGAGTCCCGAGGGCCCCAACCCGGAAGTCTGCATCTCCCTACCTGCTGACTCAGTTTAACTGTCAAGGATTTCATGGATTGATGAGGCCATGTTTTTGTTTGGCCACCACTTACTCTTTTCCAACCTGCACCTATATCAGCTAGTAATGCCCGTCGGGGGAGCCGATGGTTAGGTATGCACGGCACGTGACCTAGTTATCTCAATCTATGTAACTTTGTAGCCTCGTCGATTGATTTTCCCTCTTTGCCCAACACTCTACGCCTAACGTCAACATTACTTACCTTAATATACCATCTAACGTGAGAAAGAGATCGTAGACATCTATTACGCAGGATGTTAAAGGTTGTCAGCAGGGTAAGCAACGTGCCACTTAACCAGCATGTTAATACTCTGGTTGACAGGCAATTGGACTCATGTGAAAAATGGGATAAATCCATTATATTTACATAACTCACACCACCCTCTTCATTCACAACTCTTCCCTTGTATCTCATCAGGCAGACAGACCAGAAGCCTACATAGAAAACTATATGCTCGCACTAGTAAGTACAAAAACCCAACTCAACCATACCCTACTGAGCTAGTGTTCTGTGGGATAAAGAAAGCATTAGGTGTGATACCTATAACTTATTAGATAGTCAGTAGAACAATTAGACCTCGTCTTTCAAACTCATATCATTTATAGGTACAACGTTTTCTTTCTTTCTTTTCCTTTTCTCTTTTTTTCTTTTGTTATGTGCTGCTTTGTTTCTTTCTTTTGCTTACGCCAGTAAATATGCTACCATCTACTTTTCTAACACCTTCACAAGCACTGTTCGGTTTTGGCTTTGCTGACATGCTAATATGTTGTCAAAACTAACTGAGATTACCCTTAATCTGTGTAGAATTTTATTTTATTGTTAATTTACTAACTGGATGCAAAACTGTAGTAAAATGCTGAGAATTCCATTCTGTATCGCAGGTACTGTTTTGCAATAAAGCTAATATCATTATCATTATTATTATTATGATAAAAACAGTCGACCTTTTCATGTCTTCAACTCGTATTGGCCATGTTTCAGAGCCATAGAGAAGGACGGAGCGAACCAGGCGATTAACCAACACAGAAAAATTTCAGTTATTCATCACATGCATCCAGTACCAAAGTAACCCTTTTATCTTCACTCTTAGTGAAAGTGCAAACTCCAGAAATATATATATATATATATATATATATATATATATATATATTACTGGCCCTTCAGTGGTTGCGCCAGAGGATGGTACTGCATGCTTGTCTCGTCTCGTAAGAGGCAGCGATAGGTGCGTTCGGTTCTCCTGAAAACCAGTGTCCAGTCAATGAGTGTATCATTTTGTGAGTGGCTCAAGTGGTCTAGTGGATACAGCTTTGTGTGTGTCAGCAGCTCAGCTTTAAGATGCCTACCGACTATACATGTGGCCCAGGGTTCGATTCCCAACTGGCGTATACCATTATCTCCACTAGCCCATTGGAAAGCTGACAAAAATGGAAGGCTGGGTGCGAGGCTAGCAACCCCAGTCCTTAAAAATAAACAGAACTGCTACTGAAAATTCAAAGCTCAAGCTTGAAGCCTTATTCCACACTCAGATCGCAAAAGGATAAAAATAAATGGAAACTGCACAATATCACACTATGATGCATGTTTTTATTCAAATGACTCAACATGGGTTTTTATATAATTATTAAGCTCTCGGCAGTATATTAATCATTTTGTTGGCACAAAATAATACAAAATAGTCAAATTTGGAGATACACTGAGGAGAAAACAACTACAACAAGAGAACGCAAGGAATAAGAAACGGATGGCATTATCCAATGAAAATCCAAAATATATGAATGTGTTTTGCAAGAAGAACATGTATATCATTTCATGAATACGTATCATTGTAATGCTTGGTAAAACGTTCAAACCGTTCATCTGAAAACGTACACAAAAAATACACGATAAGCCTAGTTATTTAAACGAAAAAATATTTAACTGACTGTTTCATACACTTTACATTGAGACAATCTAACACACTATATTAAGCTACAAGAAGTTAATGTCATCTACCTACTCATTGTAATCTTAACAGTTAAGCAGTGAGATGTCGTACGTCGGTGGCACACCACTAGGATGCTTGCTAACTACGCAGGTGGTCCAGGGTTCAATCCCTGGCTGACACACTCCTTTACCTCGCTAAGCCAGTAATAAGACAAATAAAGAAGGAAGTTTGGGCATGAGGCTAGTAACACCATCACGCAGAAATAAACAAGCTGGCTCTAGCTTAATGTCCTATGTTACACTGGGAACTTAAAGGAATTTAAAAAAAGTGGGATGTTAGTGACAAAAGTTTACCATACAAAAATGCTGCCAAAGTTTCCCACAAATTCTTTCAAGCATCTAAATAGGGTAAAACACCAAAATATGACAAGAGAAACTAAGCATTGACGATATATAAATGTCACTTAAGAATTACCTGTATCACGGAAAAGTTCCTTATACATCGAGTTGCCTTCTTTCAAATAATGATAAACACAGTGAAACTTGATAGAATCCCCATCCTGTTCAGCCGTATCTAGAAGGCTGTACATACTTTCCGTGTCGACAATGTTAGCCGAAGATTGCAAGCTAGAAAACCTGATTAATTGAAATAAGCAGAATTAATAGAGTTATGGCTGCTATCGAACAAAATATCTAACAGCCCTGCTATGATTAACTGACTAACAGCTATATGCTGAAAATTCCATACTTGTACCAAAAATACAGTGTGGAATCAAGCTGTAATCAAAAATAAAAAATAAAGTGGTGACGTCACATGCCCAGCGATTCCCAACGGAAAGCTCATCGAAGACTCTGAAGTGAAGACAGGAGTAAGACAGAGCTGCCTAATATCACTAGTAACCTCTCAAATTGTGTTGACTAGATCATGCGACAAGTAATGGAAAATCAGGACGGTGAACAGACAAATGCACCTTAGGAGATTCGGAATTCGCACATGACTTATGTCTCATAACTCACATGTTCAAAAATTTCCAATTGAAGGCCAACAAGATGACAGAAGAATCAAAGTAAACATGACTTTATGTAGGCATAGAGAAAATAGATTTCGTGAAGATACCCATCCAAATACAGCTGCCAGCACTGATAACCATCAGTGTGAGAAATCTAAAGGAACTCGTCTCTTTCACTTATCTAAGTAGCATCGTTTCAACTACAGGCATATGTGACATACGAGAATATCAAGGCCAGGATCAAAAAAGCAAAATAGGTCTTCATTACTCTCAAGTCAATATAGAGCTGCACAACAGTCAGCATAAAGAAGAATATTGAGATTTTCAACACTGATATCACCCCAGTGCTACTGTGTAGTTCAGAGAATTGGTGGACGCATTACCAAAAGGATTTCTGATTGGCTACTGCAGACTTTCATCAAGACTTGTCCCCTTCTGTTGCTGCTGAAAATCAGACTGCGGGTGGAACGAATAGATAAGACAACAGCAGCAAGTAACTGTAGCACTGCAGTAAAACAGTCAGCAGCCTATTACTCAACTTATATGCAGGGGAAAATGGAGATGGATTGAAAGTATGCTGAGGAGACCATGAGTGAAAACATACGCCAGATATGGGTGAAACCCGAGTGGGAACCGATGAGTTGGGCCTCCGAGGGTGATGCAGACAATATCATTTACTGTAATGTTTACTTTTATCTTACCACTTGATTTAATGGATGGATATTCACTGTGCGTTCATCTTTATAGACCATAGATAACCGTAAAAGCTATGGTAACATTACCTCGTAAATTGACCATAACCACTACTATTGTTTTTATAGGAAATCACAACAATCTTTTGACCAAAAGCATTCTTCAACCGTGTGCTTCCTGAAACAAACGAAATGTCATAACAACAGTAGAATCCAACAACTCTATACCATATGGTAAGGACGAATATTATCTAAGGGATCACCTTAGATGTATTAGTGGTTAGCGAGAGGATAACACACTTGGAAAATGAGAATAGGCGAATTAAACGAAAATTGCAGTGTTGAAGACGATCTAATTCTGGTAATATGTACACCTGTAGCTGACATCGTGACAGGATGCATTCAACAGTAATGTTTAAGCCTACTGGTAAAGTAAATAAAGATGCTTTATGATAACATAAATAGGTTGGTTACATGATTTCATCATGAGGTGACATCGGTTAGAGAACCACTGGAAAACCTGGGAACACGGGAGAACTGTTTCGTCCAAGTTTGGGACTATTCAGCATAACGCATCCAGTAAGTTTCGAACCCATGACCTTCTGGTCACATGGCGAGCTCGTAGACAATTAAATCACTGGACCAAGATCCGATGGCCAATGAATTCCAGCCCCGGTGGGTGCGTACTGCTGAAGAGTCTCGAATTCTCCAGTACTCCCTGCAGGTTTTCCAATGATTCTCTAACCGATGTCAGCTCATGATGAAAGACTGTAACCAATCAATCAAATCCCTACAAACCAATACTTGAATATTAATCGAATTACTGGAAGCAAAACAAAACAGTGAAGCTTTATAAACAAATTATAGCCAGATGAGTATTTGAAGGTTTATCTTTAAAAAACTTGGATACTACAACAGTATCCTATAAAGTCGATGACTTCTGTGTGTCTTATTTCACCCTATATTCACCCAAATATGACATTTAAAAAACTGGTGATTGGAGAACGAAAATAAATATTTATTTGATAAAAAACACACAAATATTTAAACAAACACTTTACCTCAATGCCTCCAAAGGTCGTTGTTTAATAAGTAGTGCATCAAATAGTTCACTATTGCACGTATCCAACCTCTAATTGGAAAAAAATATATGTCATGGCAATGAGAATATAAACGAGCACTCATTTTTTTTATTATACTGGACATTCCACTTTTCACTTCATAAATCTAATATTCAGTATTTTATATCCAAAGAGTTGACTGAGGTAGACGTCTCCATCAATACCGAAGAAAGTGTCTCAGAGAGTGAGTCGACTAGCAGTAAGACACTGTGCAACGCCGAAGGAGGAATATATTCAAGGTGAAGAAAGTTGACTGATAGTGTATGAATTTGAGCGACTTGTACAGGTTCATTAAGTCTACGTCAGAACATGACATGGATACTTGTGAACTTTTTGTGGTAGATCTGAAGTAGGACCATCTATTATTATTGACGTGATTCTCACCTTTTTTAATTTCCAGAATTTTGAATATATAACTAACTTTGTATTTATTCCTTTGTCTTTTACATAGTGGTGTTTCCCAGTACTCTTCGAATTATGTTCATTTCTGACTTTTGCACATTGAATACCTTTCAACTTATTATTTCCTTTAATTCCTAGAGGAACATAGGGCTTCAGCTGCACTTATTCGTTGCATTCAGTTCTCTGCCAACGTTTACACCTGGCTCTACGTCTGCTCACATGCTTTCATTTCCCCTTCACGTGACCTCCTCGTCCATGTCACCCTCACACTGACGACTAACTAACTCGCCGCTTCCCATTCGGGTTCCACTCGAGAGCCTTGAGTGTGATGTCACTTGGTGGTTTTCTTAGAGTATGGCAAATCCACCTCCATTTCTTCCTGCATACTTTTTCAACTTAGAATTTTGAAAAAATCTATAATATTTTAGGAAGTCTATATGATTTTTCCTGAATTAATTTTAAGGATTAATTAGTAACACTTATTGGAAAAGAGTCATCACACTATTACACACATTAAAATACGTTACGAATGGCGAATTCCCAGACGCAACCATCATTTTAATAGAAGCTTGATATACACTTCCTAGCAGTTACGTCAGTGTCACAGAAAGAAACGGTAATGTCTCTGATTGCATCCGAGTAAGGAAATAGAACAACTAAGCGCCAGGACAAGAGAATACAAAAGCACTTCTCAGGCGATTAGTGAATAAACGAATTGATACAGACGTTATCGTACAACTAATAAGCTCACCTTCAACATATCAATAGCTAACTGGCCAGCCGGAGGATATACTGTTTCCAAAGACAAAAGCTGTAATGCCTGTTGAAATACACAAAAAACCAAAATAACAAGAGAATTATATTTTGGTGAGTCATCAGTATACTTGTTTCATGCTCCACATTTATGAAGACAAGACTTAGCTCTAATTGAAATTAAATAAAAAAAACCTAACTAAAAGAAACTCGAAGTATATTCCATCAAGATAATGGCTTGATTTCATAGCATAGCTAGGAGACTGTTTAGCATCAAGTTCCGAGATAACTGACTTGAATGACAACAGAGACATAACAAATTTCTGAAGGATATGCCTCAATCATTAGTTTTCAACACAGAAAATCCATCAACAACTTTACACGCTAGCATGGGTAGACGTTTTCCACATCATATATATATAGGGTTTTTAAGATATTATATCACAGATTGAAAGACTTGTTACCAACCCTCGACACTTCAAACTGCGTATATCAATTTGATGAGTTTGTTTGCGGAAGCAAATGCATAAGTAGTACGGAAAGGCGATTTTCTACTCGCATGATGGAGCATTTGCCAAAATGGTTGAAAATAGCTGAGTGCAAAGTGCAAAAATCCTCAATAACAAAACATCTTGTGGATTACGGACATGATATCGACGCTGTTAAGTCATTCAATGTTGCCAACAGACAATGAAACAGGAAGCTGTTTGCAATTACGGAGGCTTGTGCAATTCGAGTTTATAAGCCAGGTCTCTGTGGACAAAAGGAAATGATCGTCACTCTGAGTCTACCACGGTAATACGTTTCACTTATTAACCGTTATTATAATAATAATAATTATTATTATTAACACTTTATTCCACCTCTTATTATTATTCCTGATTTCTTTAAAACTACCTTTTATCAGCAGCATTATCTTAATTCACTTCAACATTATTTTATTATAACTATTAATATTACTCAGTTCGCAATTCTTGATATATCCAAGTTCTTTCTCCAATGACCACTTGTTTATCTAAGTGATGTAATGGACGCGTAATTCATTTTATCTTAATTTTAATCCTTCATACTTCCTTCCCCTTTTATATTTGAACATGACCTGAAAAACATTCACATGTGTTGTTTTGCATGATTATTCAAAGTAGTTTATTTTCTAATCAATCTTATGTCTTCCAATGTATTTCTAACAGTGTGTACAGTCCTGTATGTAGAGTATTCAGATGAAGAGATGTACCAAAATTGAATTCATTAAATCCGGCTTTATGAACCTTTTTTGCTTGTTTTAAATTCGCATCGGGAAATAAATGTTCGCAAATAAATATATATTTTTTGTCCCTCTACGGACAAGGTAGAAATAGCGACTGCACATACTTTTTTGTGCATAGAGGATTGGCTTGAATTCATGAATGAATTACCAAGGCCTCCTCTGTTTTCAGAAGTTTAGAAAGAAGAACGTGAGGAAGGTTAGCATGAATTAGATATATGATGATCTTAAAATCATAAGTACGGTTGGTAGAGTGACACAAGTAGATCAGGTGTTCTACAGTATAGCTCTGCAAACCCTTCCCTTCTTCCTTGCAAAACCATGCTGGAATATGTACTCGTATCGGTGTAGGAAGTATTCCGTGGCTACGGCCTTGCTCCACAAGAGTAGCTGAACTGATATATGCACATGGAGACAGCCAGACGAGGCAGCTTATCCCGTAGTGAGATGAAGAACAACATACGACTGATGGTTATTTGTAACTTTGCAGCAAAAATAAAAATTTCGTTGAAAAGTCTCTTCGCTGAATACTCTACTCTTAATTTTACAATGAAAATTATTAAATTATTCTCGGAATAAAACAGAATAAGATTCACTTCCTCAACCAGTGAGAATGCGAAGATCCTCTTAAATCTAAATTAAAAAACAGTGATTCCTCTGTATTTTCTATCTTTTATATAATTCTGATGCTCAGTAGACAAAAACAAAGGGTGGAAGCATCTAGCTGCTTAATCCATTGAAGCAGATGGCTCGCTAAATAACGAAAGGAACACAAAGCTCATACGTACCCCAAATCTTTATCATCATCCAACAGCTATATGGTAATGCCATGACTCATGTTCAGTGACACACAAACTCGAAGATTTACGGACGATCACCTATAAACTGGTAGAGAAGACAGGCTTCCAGGTGAACATAGAGAACACGGAGGCGATGAGGATAACTAACCAGCGACCAATATCAGTCACCATCATCAACGGGAGGAATTTGACAGAGGTCACTTCCTTCAGATTTTCAGATTTACAACATAAATATGAAGCCAGTCAGTCATTTCTTCTATGTGGACCAGAAACTAGCAACCCACGTCACGAAAAGCATTCCTGGAAGGCTACTGCAGACTTTTATCAACAGTTGTCTTCTATGCCTACATGTTGAATACCAAATGGCTGGCCATAAACAATTAACAACAAGAAACAATGGGAGCAAACTAACCAAGAACCAATCGTTGAACATATACGTACGAGAAAGTGGAAGTGAATTCGGCATATGCTGAGGAGGCCGTCGAATGACATCGCGTGCTAGGTCATGGTTCCGGTGGAACTCAAATGGGAAACAATGGATGGACCGTCAGATGCTTTTATGCACGAGATGAGAGACTATGGACAATCGTGGGGGCGGTTAAAGAGGACTGTGGGGAATAGGAAAAAGTGAAGGTGTGTTGTTAAAGCCCTAGGTTTCACTCAGAACCCAAGGGAAATAATAATAATAACAATCATGCAACATCACTAATTTAGAAGAACTTTAAAAGCGAATAATTAAGCTTACAATGGGCTTAGAGTCTGCAATCAAACGACTTTGAATATAATAACTGTATTGAATATAATTCCCAATTCTGGCCACAAGACTGACAAGCAGTTCGTAGAAACAATGCTGAAAAAGAAAGGTTCAACAGCGAAAAAATTTTATACTAACTAACTATGAATGAAAAACTCTTCACAGACATAAACAATAAAAATGATAATCACACACACTAATAGTAGAATGCACTCACTTCCACGCAAATATTGTGCTCCAAAAATACGCGAATATACTCAACCACCACAGAACACAGAAATTTACGAACTTCCGAATGCTAAGAAAGAGAGAGAGAGAGAGAGAAGACGAAACAGAAATTATTCCACTCATCTCATCAAATGTACTACAGTACTAATCTGAGTGAATGATTGAGGGAAAATCAAACACACACACACACACCTGCAGAACACACAAAACACTGTAGCGACTCTCATATCACAGGTTAAACTTATTACAACGGAAGGCAGTTTACACCATGCGAAAATAATCAGACACCATACAATGAATATTTCTTCGCTGTATTCCTTCACCATAGCGAAGATGATATTCTCTCACATGTAATTTATTACTGTAGCAAATTCATGTTCATGATGGATACGCAACGATTCTAGAAAGCCTCACATTTTCAAGCTGTCACCTTCAACAATCCCCAGCTAGGTAGCTAGCTACTAATTTATTTCATAAAACTTCAAATATCACCACCACCTTCACCTTGTAGTTCTTCTAACACACTTGTATTCACTCGGCGACTTCTTCAGATTAGACAATATCTTTTTTCCACTAATCGATATTTCCAGCATAAATAAGTGTTCACTTCCACTATGCAATTCTGTATGCAGAACTGCGCGAGATGAAAGTTATTCGAAACCATCCATGGTGATACCATCTAACTGATTTGACAGGAGTAGAAGGAAACGGTCATTGATTTTTTTGCCTTTACGTTCCCAGTGGAACACAGGGCTTCAAGCTAGGGGCTTGAAGTTTCTGTAGCAGTGTTTATTTTTACAGGATGGGGTTGCCAGCCTCATGCCCAACCTTTCCTCTTTACCAGCATTATTTCCTGATTAGCGGGGTAAAGGAGTGCGTCGGCCGGGGGTCGAACCCTGGACCATGTGCATGGTCGGCGAGTGTCCTAACCGCTGTGTCACCGACTCACTGGCGAACAGTCACTGATGATCCCCTGCAATTGTCCGCATTTCGGTGGTTGTTATCCTTCGAAAATAGCAATTTCTCAAACGAATTATCGACTAATTTTTACAAATACAAGCTCTATTTGAGTATCGATTTCAATAATAAATCACAACGATAAGAGAAAAACATATTCATTTACCTCGGATCGTTGGTTTTTTAAAAATATATGAGTGTATATTTCTGACTGAGTGACAACGTCATTGGCAGATGAAATCAAACTGTTGTCTTCATATGGTGTTTTCTAGTAATAGGGAAACAAAATTCTAATTAAAAAGGGGAAAGCACATAGAAAATGGGAACAGTGTGACATCTGGACAGTAAAACGGTACTTTACTACTACTACTACTACTACTACTAATAATAATAATAATAATAATAATAATAGTGATGATCTGCTATATTGCAAAAACAGTACTTATAATACAGCATGGATTTCTCAGCATTTGTCACAATATTGCATCTAGTTTACTCAAAATATAAATAAAAGTAACCACAGGAATTTGTCCACATTTACATTGGGAACAAAGTCAAAAATGTGTAAAGTACAAAATGAAAATAATGACTCATAATAATAACCGTGGGTTTGTTTCAAACAAAATTGTCAATACAGTATGGAAACGTTTGGCATATTAGGAAATATTGAATCTAATGTTCTGTTGATATAGCATAGTGAGGGGAAAAACAAAAAATAACAATTTTACAGAGCTTAAATGATGTTTACACTTATGACAAAATAAACAAAACAAGATGAGAGGATAATAAATATAAGAAGAATAACAGCGAAGCTTGATGGGATAGGGATGGAGAAAATTGTTTATTTACTAATGCAATGAAGGTTAGTCAATTCTCGTCCCTGACACTATTTCCATCAATTAAAATACTTGCCAAATATGATATAGTGAAATTTTTATACTTGGACGTAAGTGCATAAAGTCTTTTGAAATGACTTATTGTTTTACCTAAGAAGACACAAGGTAAAAACTGCGGGTATAGTGAATACTCACAGTCTGACAAATTCCCTTTAACAAATTTGTTGCATAAAATCAAGTGCTTATCAATGACTAAGTCAACGATATGGCCCAATGCAATACCACTAGCTCCCTACTGACAATCTTCAGACTTCTACGAAGTTTGACATAGTCTTTTTTAAGCAACCCAGGAAGGAATGAAGGTGAACAATAAAGAATAGGTAACATGCAAGAGTTAACTAACTGCAAGAGAAGGAGGGGTTGTGTTATGTCTGAATGCCTTAATTTTTTGATGTAAATAGTAAGACGAAATATTCTGTTAGAAACAGCTAAGAAATGAGAAGACCAGGATAGATCAGAGGAGAGAATTGATCCAAGATACTTAAAGTCAGACTTGATTTCTATATCAGTATCATCAACAGTTATAGGAATTAACAGCTTCATTTAACTTTCTTTTGCATTGGAAACTGAAATTACCAGTTTGACATTTGAAAGGATTTAGTTTAAGGCCATTAGACAAAGACAATTTTCTAACTCCTGATAGAAAGCTGTTCATCTTAGTACAGTCTAGCTGGGAGTTCACTGGCATTGAAACAGTTAGATCGTCAACAAGCTTAAGAAAGTTCATTTACTCAGAGTAAGGCAAGTCATGCAAGAAGAACGAAAACATAAAAGGAGAAAGAACAGCGCCTTGAAGGACGCCAGCCTCAGTAAGCAATGAAGTGGACGATTTCCCCTGACATACAATGTACTGCTTTCTTCCTGAGAAATAAGAATGAAGCCAGCTGATAACCCAACACTCAGTGTGAGTTCCAGCAAGCTTATTTTACAAAATATCCCCAGGTAATGAGCCAAAGGCAGATGTGTAATCTAGCAAGGCGCAGCGAACAAACTTAGCCCCTTTTTCTAAACTAGAGACGATGTTATGACGCAAGACTACAGATGTATCTAAAGTACTTCTACTATGTTTGTAGGTGAATTGTTCAAGATTAAGTAAAAGCAACTTTTCCATAGTTTTCAAAAAGGAGAGGTTATAGCAATAGGTCGAAATTTGACACATGTTCCATTACATGATTTAAGCATAAGGTACAATTTTAATGTCTTTTCAAACGGCTGGCACAATATTTCTCGAAAAAAATTCATTATATATATATATATATATATATATATATATATATATATATATATATCAGTGAGAGGATAACATAGGATACCTGAACATTTTTTAAGGATAACGCTAGTCTCACTATCTGGACCTAGGCTACAAGGAGGGTCAAGCGACTGCGTACACTTTAGAACGTCATATGTATTGAAACCCGGGAAGCAGTTTACATTAGTACGTGTGACACTAGAAACGATGACATTTGTGGGAGAATGTATGAAAGACTTGTCCAGCGCACACACATCAAATGAATAAGGAATACTGTTTATCTGCCCACCACTAGTAATTTCTTTGAAAAGTTTTCATATAATAGAGGAGTTTTCACAGGACATGAAATCCTGGTCATATATGTAGAGTTCAACCTCAGCATTTCAGACTTGATTAAGATGTTAATTCTTTTCACACAATTGTTATCTTTCATTTTATATAACTTTTCCTTTTTCCTGCGAAACTTTTTAAGTTGAGGGGAGGAGAAACGGTCAAATCTGATGAAAAGCGTTTTTTTTTGAGGCAACAGATGCCGAGACAGAATTTGAGATAGCATGTAATATTTGAGATAGTGTCATCAAGAAAGTCTCCATCAAACAAATCCCGCCTTGTGTCTTTGAGCATACTTCTAAGATTCCAAACATATTCTTGAACAGGTATGAGAAGGCTCTCTTGTATAACTTTCAATAAATTTTGGATAAAACCCGTACAATACAATGGTCACAGTTAAACAGTGGAGCTCTATTACGAGTTTCGTGTATTCCGGACTCCTTTATAAACACAAAATCAAGCGAAGTATCCAGTCGATCGGAAAAGTTAACGGCATTTTCATGACCTAGCAATGTAGGAAAACTGCAGGATGAAAACTAGCCTTTCTATAGACCATCAAACAATGCTACTAATATGAAGGTGGTTTATACCGATCGCCATTGTAGATTTCGGACAGTGGCACCAGTCAATGTTTACCTTTTAAAAGCTTTTATATCTGAGTTTTTTCAGTAATTCTAAACGATTGACATTTATTTCACCAACATTAAGCAAAACAGATAACTGGTTGTGTAATAAACGTGGAGATTGTGTAAAACGGATACAGACGTTTTCACAATAATTGATCTGTTCTTGTCAATTTTGTATGTCTGCATGCGAACATCTCTGCTTTGTTAAATGAAACCAATAGTAAGCAATGCAACACCCGTTAAAGAATAAATAAATGCAACGCTTCTGAATCACATGCTGACAGCTATCATGAATACACAATAACAATTATAGGTGTGATACAACATACATTTATTTATATGTCTAGAAAAATGATAGCTTCATGAGACAGTAATAGTATTAATTAATTGTTACTCACCATTTTAGCAGGCAATGAAGAACACGTGTTTAATGTTTTGTTCATAGAATCGATGTTACACGTATCAGAATGCATATGATATCCTCTGGTACCAGTAGGCATACAATAGGACACTTTGCATATTCGCTTAAAGATGAACACGAATTGATCCAAGCGTCGATTCAATGAACGAGCATTGAATTCGAACACAGGAGGTTGATTAATGTTTGAAATCACTTCGTCTATACTATCTGACATCAATTTTGAACAGTAGTCCAATAGAGAACTTTTACCATTAGATCGATGCAGAAGAAACTCAATAGTTAGGTTCTAAAAACAAAACAAAAAACGATAAATACGAATTTCTCTCGACAACTAATACTAGTTAGTATATGCGAAACGTAGCATAAATGACTTCTAGCAATAAACATATTACTATGGAAACTGATAGTATATTCGATTCGTGCAACACCATTCCTCAATTCATTCAAAAAAAATTGAATACTTTCAAACTCGTAAATCCGATGAAATAAAGCCATAACAAAAGCACTCGTAACTAACTAGAAGAACCGATTATGAAAACTAAGGACAAGACTTTCTCAATACATTTAGTTAGCTATACTAATTATAAGTGTGGCTCCAGAGTGCAATTGTTAAAATGAATGTTCTCTGATAGCTTATATTCTATTGTTTCCAGCTTTGATGGCTATACAGAGTTATTGAATTAATCATTTCCATCAAGGCGTTCATTCGACTCCATGTTAATCCAACATGATTATTTCGTATAGGTCCATGAAAAACAGCAGGTCTTTTATACTAGGAACACAACTACATCTACTCACATAGTAAGTGACATTATTAAAAATGAGCTTTACACCACACTGTTTTACTTAGGACGAACGATTTGTCGAAAGTACACCTACATCCCGTAAAAAGTAACTTTAGAACAACACATTTAACCGAACAATATTGTTTTCAATTAGATCTCATCAGACTTAACTCTAATATACATAAGTTTACAAATAAAAAATTAAAATATAAACCAATCACGGTGTTTTGTCTATAGGATAATAAGATGATGAATATAAATTGTGCAATTAGTCATAATAGTAGTAATAATAATAATAATAGTAATAATAATGATAATAATAATACTAATAATGGTCTTATCAGTAATAAGGATGAAAAAGTGAGGCAATCTGTGATAACACGAATAATGAAAAACAGCATGATTAAACAAACAAATGTTCAGGTAGAAGTAGTCGATAAAGGCTAGTAAAAACAAATGAACCGATGAAGGAATGTCAGATTGTAAGGGAAGGAAATTAAACACGTTTATAATGAAGATAAGATTAAGGGATGATAAGAAAGGGGTTGAAAATATAAACAAGGGGTGGTTCAGAAGTCATTAGTTGGTTATGTCTTAATAGGCCAAGGGAGGGATAATAGCTGTGCGAACTTCTTTTGAATGCATAGTTTAGGTTTAATAGTTCGAATGGCTATCGCCTCAGCTGTGTGCAGTAGACGAATACGAAGCCTATTGGAAAGATTCGGTGGGATACGATGAATTACTTTGAAGGCTCTCGTTTTATCCACTACATGACCACTATTAATTAAATATGACAAAATTGAGCTATGGATTGTTTTTGTCTGTCCTTCGCCAAACCACGATGGGAGATGTTCACTAACACGTTGGCCCAGCTGTCTAGTAGTACGGACAACATAATTGTCTCCGCAGGTGCAGTTGAATTGATAAATGCACATAGATGTAGCAAAACTATCAAGCTTATTCTTCGCTTGCGTCTCAATCATTCGTCGGCTAGAGAATGACAAACATATGTGTGCTGCGTAAAACGTTCTTCATATACTCCTTGAAAGTCTCTGGAATAAAATCTTACTTGGTAAGACACCACTAATAAATAGAGGTTTTTTACGTGCAGTCAGAGTCTCAGGTTTTCTCTCTGATGTTTTCATATGTAACTTAGCATTTAATTAGGGGTAAAATCTAAGATTCGCAAGGGAGAACCTATCTTAGTGATGCATAGGAGTTACGTTGTCACATATATAATCGGTAACACCAACGACACCAGCTAACACATGCCATGTCAGACTTCTGTTTCTCTCCCGTGACTTCATCAGAAGCGAGCTCAATACTAACACTACTTGTCAAACTAGCTATTTCGTCAACATATACAACTATTTCAATCTCCATCCTCAAACTAGGTGTTTGTGCACACTACTCCTGTGCCATTATTTGCCAACCAACAGGAACGACAAACGTACTCAGATTTTCACTCAGAAGATTTAGAAGATGGTTCCCTGAGAACAATTCGAATCTCAAGATGTTGAAATAGGCCACTGAAACTAAATACCATCGGTGACTTAAGAAATTTCTATTATGGACACCACAAGAGGCCGTAACACCAGGCGACAACTTGCTACAATCAGACACACGACTGTATGAATCAGAGAACAGAGCCTTGATTAGAGCACCGCATTCTTTTAGCACTTGATTTACACAGATATTTCCACAACAACTCCCGACTGTCGAATTAAAATATCACCCTCAAGTCAAAAACATAACAAGATTTGGACACCTATGAGCAAGCACCTTTGCTTTACAATAAGTTGAAGGGCTCAAACCTGGGTTTCAAGCTTGTCTATCTCTCGAGTTTATTCATCTGTGAGTCTCATTTTATCTGAGAATGACTGTGAACTCCAAGATTTTCGACAGTATGTACGTGAAGTTGATTTATCTATGGCTAAAAGATGAAAATTTTCCCTTCAGACAAATGTCTGCCCTGCCTAATATCTCAGAAATATTGATCTTGTAGATTTCTTCTAAAAGATCTGGAGTGATAATTCTAATACATTAATTAACCAAAAGTTTGAGTTACGCATAGAATCCCAAAACAGGATTTGTCTGAAGTACGGTACTATACTATAAATGAAATAATGAAATATAGTATATAGACCTAAAATTGTGAGGTACCTATGGTTGAATGACGTAAAATGCGCTGTCACTGGGTGTCAATAAGAAAAAACAGAAGAACTGTGTCAAGAGTGATCCACCGTCAGACGAAACAGTGCCAACTAGCACGAAACCTGGGTCCAAAGCTTCCTGTCGATTACCTCCAACCATCTAATATCAATAAACGCCGTTCTTCCTTTCCACACGTAACCTAAGAAGACTGTTGCAAAGTATGAGGCAACGGTATGACTACCTAATAGTTTTCCTCCTAAACACAAAGTATTTACACATCAAATCCTCATGTATTGTGTGCACATCACTACGTCATACTCTCGAGTGTTGAAAGAAAGCAATATCAAATGATTAGAATGTCTTTTTGAAGAAATCAATCTAATTCATGCTGGGAGTCTAAATGTCCAGATATCTTTATCAGCTCGCTTTGTTCACCAACATTTATTGATGACTATTACCACGTTATCCGGAGGGTAGGAAATAAATGGGACATGAGTTCCTTCAAGGTTGCAGATACGCCTTGATGACGAGTGTCAACTAGCACGAAACCTAGGTCGAACAAGGCTTCCTGCCGATTGCCTCCAACCATCTAATATCATTAAACAGCGTTCTGTTGAAGTAGGGTTCCTACCTACTAGTATCGACAGGGATTTCACTTTTCTTTGGTTTTACAAGTGTCATGAACTTCCCTTCGTCATGCAACAGTTCAGCATACTTATGTGCTTGCTTTTTGCTTACCAGTGTCACTACCGGAATGCACAGAAAACCCAAGTGTCCCTTACACTGGACACAAGCACAAAAACTAAAAAAATTCTAATGGCCCTCTCTCCTCAACATGGTCGACTAAGTGTCCTAGACAGTGGATGTTGTGAACTAAGCTCTGTATGTCATAAATCACTTTATATTCGTGGCAAACCACCGGTTATTCAGCACATAAAACCGAACCTTAAATTTCTTTATGAAATCAACCAACTCCTTCTTTGAACAATCTAGTAATTAACAGTAGAACTTAGTGTTCACAGGTAAACTAAGATGATGTGAGTAGTTTCAGATGACAGGTTGAATAATCTCCGTGGCTGTAACTTTCTCAATTTAGGTCGAATGGAAAGCAATACTCTGTGCCTTTCCGTCTCTGCACACCACTTACATTTCCGTAATATCTCTGTAATGTATCTCCGTGCTTGTGAATCATGAGCAGTCTAAGATTTGCTCTACGCTGTCCATATCGCTCTTACAATACTGAACGAAGATTTCTGAAAGATCCGGACGCATAATCAACTAAATCACTCGTTTGAGTTACGTGTATAATTCAAAACACAGGAGACTTGTCTACAGTACGATAGTATATTATGAACGAAATAATGACATAATAAACAAACTTCAGATTGTGAGGTACCTATGGTTGAATGACGTCAAATACTCTGTCAATGGGCGTCAAAAAGAAGAAGCAGAAGAGCTGTGTCAAGAGTGATTCACGGTCAGACTAAACAGCGCGCGAATATCCACATAACGAATAAGGGGATTAGAATAAATAATGCTGAACAGAGAGTGGAATATGAATAAAGAATGTACAGTAGATGTGCGTCAGTGGCATAGCGGTTAGGAAGCTCGCCGACCATGCACATGGTCCGGGGTTGAATTCCCGGCCAGCGCACTTCTTCACCTCACTAGACCAGAAGTAAAGGTGGTGAAGAGGAAAGGTTGAACATGAGGCTAGCAACCCCATCCTGTAAAAATAGACACTGCTACAGAAACGTCAAGCCTCTAGCTTGAAGCCCTCCCTACGTTCCACTGGGAACGTGAAGGAAGAAAAAAGTACAGTAGATATCGTTGAACTATATGAAGATAACAACTATACGTCAAACAGAATAATATTAATACATTAAGTGAAATAAACTTTAATAGCATACAGCAGCTATGGTTACTGTGTAACAACAAGGTAAAGATTTATAAATCGATATTATTTACTATTGATAAGCAGTAGCATACAGTTGGACACAAGGGAAGGAGTGACAAAAGATAAGTAAGAAAATAATCAACAGACCTATACCGACAGCATGTATTCCTCTATAAGTGCCGCTACACTGTAATAAGGTGATACATGATATTGTACATAATTCGAAACAAGAAGATGAGGTTTGCATACTGTGAATGGTATTTTAACCAATAAGCTATAAAATCGAGGCATAACATGCATACTGTGAATGACTTAACAACAATTTAATAATTTGACCATATGATAAGTGAAGAAGTAACTCACATGATTATTGATTAGTTTGGAAACGACACTATTATCCAAACATAATAACCACGAGCAACCTAAAAGATGGAGAACAAAAGAATCTTTGACGTGCTACTCTATAGGCAGACGAGCAGCTGTTCAACAGTGTGTGGCCTAAATGAAAGCAAATTATACAAACAGGTAATCTTTACTGTCATAGGATGGGCTAACAGATTTCTCATGTACCCGGCTGTGTGAGCTAGTACCCCCATTTGCCTAATCTGAAGTGCTCCAAATACTCGAAACCGAAACGCACCCACCAGTCCATCCATATCTTCTACATATAGGTGAAGTTACGGCAATAAGGTCGACTAGAACCCAATATTCATAAAAAAAAGACATTCAAATGTTGTTCCTGCTTGGACCAAATACTGTGTACTCTGTCTCCCCTACCTACTCTAAAGAAGTATATCTTCCTATCTACCTTTTTCGAATTCTAGTCTTAATGCGCATTACAGCTTATCCCTTTTTATTATGGTAGCACAATTTTCAATACAAACAGACAATAACAAGTAATTCTGATTTATTTATTATTATTATTTATTAGTAATATTGTTTCTTTTTATATGACTTCAGTTTTTAATATATTTATGCATTGAAGTTTCTGTAGCAATTTGGTTAAGTTTTGGGGGTGGAGTTGCTAGCACCACGCCCCAAGCCACCCTCTTTATCCGGGCTTAGGACCGGCTAGAAAACTAGCGAGCTAGTAATCTAGGCGAGGCCCTTGAGTGGAACCCGGAAGGGAAGCGACGAGTGGGACGTCAGTGCCAGGGTGACATGGAGGAGATCGTGTGAAGAGGAGTTGAAAGAGTGTGGACTAACATGAATGCAGGTGAAAAGTACAGCGGAAGATAGAAGCAAGCGGAGACGTGCAGTTGAATCCCTATGTTCCACTAGGAACCCAAAGGAACAATAAATAAATACATAATATGACTTCAGTTAATCTTACATAATTATTATTCCATAATGAACTATTCATTCTGGTCTTACTACCTTTGTAACAATACACTATGTAAGAAAAAATTATCAGACACATACACTTACCTAAATTATTATCAATTACAACACCGCACAGGTTAATAATCCAATTAGTTGAATCTATCGTATCATCAATATTAAGGAGTGATTAGAATTTTGTTTTCATATGCTAAGTGTAGAAACAGTTAAAAGAAAGTGGCTAATGGTTGCTTAACCATGATGATATGTGTAACGATAACGCTTACGTAATGATAAGTGGATTTCAGTAAACGTGTGGAATCTAGGAGCGACAACTTCCATGTGTGTACCATCTATACTTCCAAGTACAATGAGGGTTAAGTGCATCGGATGAATTGGAACTTTTGATTTGATGATATATATAAGCCTAATTTACACCTTGACTGATAAACTATAAATGATGGTTTTATTTGTTGAAAAATCAACACACTGCCACTTACAAAGACACCACTAACTGAAAGATTATCATGGTAACCGTTGACAGTAAAAAAAAGCAGTTAGCACTACAACTTTGTAAAGGATACATAAGTCGACAGGAAACTGAGTGTCCAAATTCGCCGACAAGGCAGGAACAACTGAAAGAATAATAACAAAAATCAGGTATATATATATATATAATTGTAGAGCTGGAAGAAGCATTTATAGAATAGAATATTCTTTGCTCGAATTTTCTTTTGTCTTCTAAATGCCTAAATGAAAATTTCGCAATTGGTTATTTCTAGTTTTTGTTTTAAAAAACACATTTATATTAATCTACAAATCAGTTTCAGAGATACTTTCCTGGTGTCATTTACAGAAAAAGAACTGAAGAAGTGATAAATACAATACACCTGAAAGCGATGAATTGTAATAAATCACTCAACAACAGCGCTTGAGAAGCTGGCCAATCAGTCACAGGTGACGTGAATACTCATCTAGGTAACTCAGTTAGAACGGATGAATTTAGTGAAATAGCTTAAAAGTTAGTCTAACTGCTTTACAACTAACCAAGTCAAGCAGAAGTACATTTGAGTCAAATTATTTTTTAGACCCCGTTTCAGGACAAAAGAAAAATTTGTGCATGATGCTTAATAACTGGTATGACATATGTGATCAGCCAAACACGACATCACTGAGTTGGTTATATGTTATAAGATAACTTATATATTAGCGACAAAGATACACATAGAAACTTTCAAATAAGCGTAATTTACCTTTCATACTATTCTCTTGATACACGTCAACATGCGTGACGAATATTTACTTGAAAAGTTTGGTTTGTAAGGGTTAATTTTCTTTTTACGAGTTGACCACGGATTGATATCAGTTAGAGAACCATTGAAAACCAAGGAGTACTGGACAGCTGTTGCATCCTAGTTTGGGAAACATCGGCAGTACGCAATGATTCCCTAACTGATATCAATCCGTGATCAACTCATAAAAACAAAACTAACCCTTACAAAGCAAACTATAGAATATTAATTTGATGCTCGTTAGTGACTTGCTACAGGATGGAGTTTCCTAGAGTTCTAGTGAGAAGTAGTGACCAGTGAGGTCCATCTAAATGTCACATGTGAGGATGGATGTCCCACCTACGACAATAGTTGGGGTCGCGCTAAATCACGAAATGGTAAAAGTTTAAATTCATGAGCCATTGAATCGGGTTCCAGTGGCTGAATGGTATAGGAGCTTGCCTTGTAACCAAAAGGTCCTGGGTTCGAACCCCAGCGGGTGCGCACTGTCCACGACTCCCAAACTATGACGAAACAGCCGACCAGTACTCCCTGGTTTTCAATGGTTCTCTCCAACTGATATCAATCCGTGATCAACTCGTAACAAAATTTACTTACTTGTGAAGGCAACTTTGAAGGTTGCAATTCATCAATTAATACAACAACGAGAGAACAGATTTCAAAAACTGGTCTACAGAATTCAAGTGAATGAAGAAAACAAGATTCTTTTATGCTTGGTCTACTTTTACACAAAGAGGGTGCTATGATGAGCACAAATTAGGAGATTAGACACATCTGCGCAGGCAAAAGTAAAATTTTGTGATCTCTTCTATAAATATCTTATGACAGCGACGAAGAAAAGTACCACCACAAAACAATCACTAGGGAAATCTTAGCAGCTTAAAGATGAATTCAAACTGCTGCGAACAATCTAAATCACTGAGCTACAGAATTTCTTGTTCAATCAAAATGCATACGGTTTACATCGTTTCATACTGCCGAAATCATTTGGTTAACTTTGATAAATTTTAATTAACTGAAACAGACACTATAATTCTGCTGCCTTAAGCATACTTAACATCTTATTCCGTCAAAGGTAAGTTGAGACCTACTAGCATTGTTCAAACGACAATGCAGTCTTAAAAAGAACAGCTTCCTAGGAAATCTTAACATCTTGAATTTTTCTCAAGTGGTGAATTTATTTCGTTATAAAGGAACTTCTCTGAACATTCATATCACTGAGTACTTCATCTTAATTCCACCATGCAGATACTTGTTTCAATAGGTAACAGATAGTTCAATGAACTATATATACACTTCTAGAACTAAAAAATGGGACGAAAAAAAAGCCAGCTTATACAGAAATCTATTATCGACTGTTACTTTTTTTAAAAATTCTGTCCAACTGAGATATTACATCAAACCATTATCCATCAGTCATCTTTCGATCCTATTCACATATGAAGTATCAGTCACAAATGTGATACACACACAATATCTGAAAGTAACAAACAGATTGAAGCCCTATCATAGTATGGGGCGAACAGACAAAAGTAATGTACGCGGAATATAATTTACAATTTCACACAGACAGGACAGGCTTACCTTTAGTCGGTAGACTAAATGGTGCAGTCATTACTTTCTTTAATATTGGTTTATGATGACTGATGTTGTTATTTACAGTACCCGTTATAGCGATATCATAAACTGAGGTAACCTGGTTAATAAATAACAGTGAAAGGATAACCAAAAGCAAGTATAAATAATTCAAATTAAAATGCAACATTTTCGTGTACACTCTACAAGAGTATTCAATCCATACGGTCGGATTAACCACCCAACATGATTAGTAGCAGTAACGTGAAAGCAAAAAGTAGCAGCATGTGATAGAGTCACCAGTTAGCAGAAGCAAGAGCTGTGTTACATGCTGCGCCGTCAGAACTGGCCACCACTGGAGGAAGATGCATCTCCATCACAGACATGAATTTGTCTTAAAATGCTCACCTAGCAAAGTGGCTCAAGTACCAAAAGCTTTGTCAATGTCAACCAACAAGATGAGACCTCTAGTATTCAACACTGACCCTCGAAAACTATCTTATGTACGTCCAGTCGATTCGAAGTATTACATTTAACACAGAATGCTTCATTTACTAAATAAATGCATTCACATCAAATCCCTCCTTTCAGTTGTTGTAGTGATTATTTTCATTCGAATTCACACAACTGGCCACTTCCTCACGATTTGAATCATTCGTTTCAATAGGAAATCGGTTGCTTCATCAGTGAAGCAATTCACTTCAAACCTGGTTACTACTGGTGAACACTTTTCCCAACAGGCGTTCTAGGCCTTAATAATCATCAGATGGAAAGACAGATAAACATAATTTAATCAGAAGGAAGTCCATCTAGTATAAAACCACAGTGCGCCAATGTACGGTGTTGATCACCTGCTTAGTTCAGTTACTGCAATGTACACCAATTAGACACTAATCGTGACTGTCGTCTAGTGAACATTAGACACACATCGTTCACCCCTATAGAATACAGTTTGAATGAGTAGGTGAGTAAGCCTAGAAATAAAATACTGGGTGGAGAAAAGGAAGAACAGTTTTCTCAGTATTAGTAGGGATGTAGCCAACTAACAAGTGGCAGCCAAGCACGCAACAGTGCGTCGGTGGCACAGCGGCAGAATACCCGCCAACCACGCAGGTGGCCCGGGGTTCAATCCCCGAATGACGCACTCCTTTACCTTGTAAAGCCAGAAATATGACCGGTAAAGAGGGAAGGTTGAGCATTAGGCTAGCAACCCCATCCCGTAGAAATAAGCACCACTGCTACCGAAACTTCAAGCCTCTACACTCATGATATACAGATATAAGATGAATCGAGAATAAATGATTAAAAAGTGGCTACAAATTTATATGCTAAGCAACTAAAGTTACTGGACAGTACTAGAATAATTGCCTGTCCGCCAACCATTTGAGATATCGAGATAAAACTCACAGACAAACGTGTGCACACTGTGTGGAAGCTTCCATCTTTTCAGAGAAAAATTGAAAGCAAACAAATCGGATGATTTTAAGCATGTTCTGAAGCTTCCAATTAGTTGGCAACCTCACCTACACTCATCTGGACAACAAGAAGACTAGGAGGAAAAGCCATACTCAATCATTAGTTCTCAAAGTGTACATGGTTTAATGGCGGCTGTTTTTACCCAACCAAATTTAGTCTTCATAAAACTCAGGCTACCAACAATCCTCAAAAACTGTATGCAAAGCAGAATGGATAAGTATTATCGCTACAGATAAGTGTCTAGTTTTATTTTGCATAAGTACAGACCTCATGTTCTCTTCCAAAAGTTAGACACGTCAGGATTTGTACAGCTGTTTCTCTCTCACATCTGTTCACGCTCAGGCATGCGCTCTCACCAACCAGTTCATGATCAGAATCCACTCAGGTGTTCCGAAAGCAGTTGAGACATTCCATACACCCTCTTCATCAACAACTGGTAGATAGGTGGTCTATTTTTAACCAGTGTTGACTAGACGTTAAAGATTGCCACATGAAACAATGTTCCATTTCATGTGTTGAGATTAGTGCTGGTCAGGAACAGACAGTTATCCGAACAGAAATATAAAAGACGATCACCGTTGTCGGTGTAACGCCCCCCCCTCCCGACCAATATACTTAGGAAAATCTAAAATGGTAGGAATAAGCAGGCCTACTGGTAAAGTGTGTACTATTTTAAAGAGAAAGCACCAACCTTGTCCTTTTGATAGTGCACCATAAATAAATTATCCAGTAAACTAAATGATACAGAGTCATCTGAATCCAAAATCAAAACATGCGTCAGGACAACAGGATCCTCACTACAATAATGAAAATATTATCAAATGATCAAATTACACGGCTTACGTTTTGACTGCGTAGAAACAAACAGTTCGATTGAGATCTCGCCCCTCATGTAGATCAACATAACGAACCGCACAGAAGTACAAATTATTATATCTAAAAAATGAGAGCGTTTATGTAGGAAACTTACAAGAGAGCTAAAAAGCAGTGCTTTCGTTCAACCGCTACAGGAGTTGAATTTGTATCTGTAGATGTAGGTAACTGAAACTTCGATCCTTTGGAGATCGTAGCCGGTGTCTATAAAGGCGAAGATTTGTTTAGAAAATTCCTGCAAACTAACTCTTGAAAAATCACATGGTTAAACTTATTTATTTACAACAGAAACCTGGGCACCACGAGATACGCCACACAACAATAATAAAACAACAATTATGTAAAGAAAATGGGGAGAGAACGTATGTAGGATGTTATCCAGAAAGTATACATGCCTACTTGTCAAGATCATTAAGTATTCATTAATTCACGGTACTTTCAGAAAGCGGAGAAAGGAGGAAGCTGCAGCATGTTCGCCATTGACTGCGATTCTTGTCTATTTCTGATAAGGTCTCGAGTCACCGATTTTATCTCCCGGGCGCCAACCAGAAGGTGTGATGTACCAACTGATGCTAAAATAACACATATCATAGGCTGGCCAAATCTTTTCTTTTCCCATGACACCGAAGCCGGTGTTCCCAAATGACAACACTCGAGGGATAGTGATCTCTGCTGTGTCCCAAAATACGCTGCTGGATCACAGAATTTCTAATACGGTGATGCCATAGGATGCAAGTAATTCTAAGGAGAGGTCAGATTTCACGGGTTCAGAGCAATACTGAGCGCACCGAGGCGTTGAAAATCAGACCTTTGACAACCAGACTAACGCCACAAAGGTGTCAGAGGTGGCTCAAGCCTGTCGCTTGAATTGATTCTCAAGGCAGTGGGACAGCAGCAGAAGCTGCATTCCCATGCCTACCGCTATCTAAATTAACATGATACACCATTCGATCTGTTTGGATTCTGGAACTATCTGTCTGGGACTTAACATCTCCCCTAGGCACACCTCGACGCACACCAGCGCGGGTGCAAGCGCCAGATGTTCGCTATTACCCGCCGTGTGAAGGCGGTCGAAAGGATTTCCGTGGCAGAGGCTAAAAAGAGTTTTCACATGAGAGCATATCGACAGGAAGATCGGAGGCTACCCATCTTCGGTCGTACCAGGTCTATGGGGGCCAGGGTTAAAATTAAAGTTTGTCTAACTGAACAACACTGTCTTATCAATTGATTATTCTAAAGAGAAAAATATCCTTATCTCTAGATTCTGTGATTTGAACAAAATTATGGTGACTTGTTATTAATGAAGAAAATACGATCAAGCAAGTGAAGCTTCTATCACCCTTACTCAAATCAATGCTTCATACATGAAGCTTAACGGACAGAAATTATATAGGAAGCTGAATACAACGGTCGGCAGAAGGATGATTTACAATGTCTGTCTGTTTTTAATATGATTAACAATGAAGAAAAATCAAGGTTAACTTTTCACAGTAAAAATTATAAATTACACCACAATAATTCATTATTATTGTTCCCTTGAATTTTGAGTAGAATATAGGGTATCAACAGTAAAACTCCACTTCGTCCTGTTCTCTGCTGGTCCCACGATTGTCTATAGTCTTTCATCTCCTCCCCGCACGATCACCTCCATATCATTGTCGGACGCACAACCTTTTGGAGCTGTGCATTCAGTGCATCTTTTATTCTTCCCAGAAGTAACTTAGTATTTTACTTCGTGTACAAGAGCATGATTCCGCGCCAGTTCTTGTAGCGGTCTAAGTCGCCCTTCCTTGCCAGTTGGACAAGGCAACCTTCCTTCCAATCAGTATTCTCCCTTCCTTGCAAACTTCTGGCAATAATGGCGTGATTATATCCGATGCGACCTACGGATGGGTTTTCAGTGCTTCAGGAGGAATTTCATCCAGTCTCGCTGTCTTCCCGGACTTCAAAACTGCTGCTTTTGTCGGAGGAATGGTGTCCACTGACAGTTTTGTGAGTGCTGTTGGTGGTATTTCTGGGCGAGTCAACAGGTGATGCTCGATTCAGAAATCCTTTGAAGTGATCAGTCGATTGTTTTCTTTATCTCTCCTTTTTGGTGATTAGATTCCCTTGAACATCTTTTAAAGGTCCCATCTACGTTGAGCACTTCCCGGATGGGGTACTGGTTATTCGATGCAGTTTCCTGAGGTCTCTCCTAGTTGCAACCTGTCCTACCTCAGTTACCACTGTTGCGAAATTGTCTCTTGTCTTTCCTAACACACTTCGCTACTTCATTCTGTAAGGCGTAGATTGAACACCCCTTTTCACTTCAGCATTGATCATTGCTCTCATTCATCCTCTGTTTCACCTTCACCTCTCTTCTATTAGGTTCCAGGTGCCCATAGAGAGTCAATCCTTGTCTTGTCTCTTCTTTCTTTCTAAAACGGCTGTACACATTTCCTTAAACATCATCTTCGGATAGTTGCAGTGTTCTTCCACACATGTTTCCTCAGTAATGCTACTTAATGTCTCTAACTTTGCTCCGATGGCTCGAATTACTGCAATAAAACTACACGGCAGAAACTACGAAGCCAAAATATCTTAAAGTCCATTTTGCGAGTACTTTTATTGTAAGAATTCAACTGTGACTGGCATTATAACACGTAGTCTTAGGTTAATAAACCTAATGGACTTAGGATGCACGTATGAATGAGATTTCTCGAGGTAATTGCGAATAAAAAAAGGATGCTGACAATTATACCGGAGAATTTCTAAAATTCCCTTGGAGAAAACACTTACTTAAACAGTAGCATAAACAACAGTCAGTACATTTAATGACTACACACCAGCGTATCGTCTCACCTTTAAGTTAAAAATGTGCAACATTTGTTCTGGACCGCAAGTGAGGCAAATGCGAGTATCGGGATTCCATAGAAACCAATCCGTGTTCAGGCTTACACATTTGTTCAAACGAACAGAATTTCTGTCAGTCAAGACCTAACCATATATAAAAATAATAATCATGATGTAAGATATTTAAATAAAAGCAAATAGTGTTCAAAATATGTCACCAGTTGCTAATACGAACTTTGAGAGAATAAGGGAACGCTTGAGTAAAATTAATGTCAGCTATCCAACAACAGACATTTACTCACGTAATAGTAGTAGTAGTAGTAGTAAGCCATTGGCAATGGGTTCATGGGTTCTAAAGAGTACGAAATTAAAACTAAACACAAACTAACCTAACACTACTCATGAAAAGACCTGGAAGTGATATCCGTTAATGACAAAGTCTACACTGACTTCATGCGAGAACCGCAGAAGGGGATAAAAGCAATCCATATATAAATAATCCCAAGACGTCTCCGAATAAAGTAACTCGGTTTGGGTTTATTCGATTGGATACACGAAGTAAACAAACTAATAATGTCGGTTAGACGGCAGTTAGACCATCACTGAGTAAAGTGGGAACTACAAGGCGCAGTTGTACTGCTACCAATTAGGTGTGCAACAGCAAAAGGATGTTTTGCTTCGAGCAAATAACATGCTATCCAGGTTGCCATCAAGCTACATTGGGGGAATAAAAGGACTGGTCCCAAAAGCTAGAAATCTCGATCCAACCTACAGTACTGCGCCTTTTAAATTTGGCCATACAGAAGAAACCGTACATTCAAACAAGCCGTGACCAGAATAAAGCAGCTGTCTCTAAGACCAATGTCCTTCCTATTTCAGGAGATTCAAAAAGAAATTAAAATTTATGTGTAACCGAGTAATGGCAACCGTTTATACAGCAGTATTACTACATTTCTATTATTTTCTCGGAGCATCAACAGCACATCTCCATTCCATCCTGTTCTCTAAAGTCCTCTTTAGCTGCCTGCACAATCGCCCATAGGTAGTGATCTCCTCACACGATCTCTTCCATGTCGCCTGTGGACGTCCGACTAGTCGTTTCCCATTTGGGTTCCACTACAGAGCCTTGCACGCGATGCCAATTAATCGTTTACTCAGCGTGTGACAGATCCACTCCAATTTTCTTCGCCATATTTTCTGTGCAACCGATTCTTGGTTCGTTTGTTACTAGAGTTCTTACCAGACAATTCATTCCAACCAGTTACCTGATCCCTTAAATGGGGCGAAGTCAGCTACTGGTGAGAGTCTGAAGCCTATTCTAATTGCTTTTGATGATGGGCACGCCAAGTGTCTGAACCACCCAGAACAACTGAGATGACATTGGTGTTGAAAATCCGCATCTTTTTCTTCATACCTGTCTTCCATTCCACTGACTGTGTGGTTTTTAGGAGGAGCACTGGATAGTTCTAACTTTCCAATATTCAAGTTGAATCTCACTGTCATTATCATGGAGAAGACAGGTGCCCAACATACAAAAGCTTGTCTGTCTGTCTGTCTGTTTTCGACATAGAACTTTGCACAAATGTGCGGAAGTTCAAGTCGCCACATTCCGTGTAGCACGCGAAGCAAGAGAAGAAAGCACAAGAAAAGCATAATAGAAACAGTGAGCAGAGGTGTGAGACAAAGGAGTAATAAGGAAAAACAAAACAGTTTCATTGGAGATCATAAGTCACAAGGAGTGGATGCATCTGCGCTAGCCACTGAGAACGATAAATTTGAGCCATGTCACCAATTGTTTCCAACCATAGATTTTTACCGTCCCGAGGACCCCAGCCTGGAAGTCTACACCTTCCTACATGGCTTAGACCAACTGTTGTGAATTTCATTGACTGATGCCAAGTTTTTGTTTGACCCCCGCTAGCTTTTTTCCAGCCTGACCCTATATCCGCTAACATTGGTCGTCCAGGGAGGCGATGACTTGGCATACGTAACACATGTCCTAACCATCTCAGTCTTTGTAACTTCACGACTTCGTCGATTGATTTCCCCTGTTTACTTAGAACTCGACGCCTAACTTCAGTGTTGCTCACACTATTATGCTACTTTACACGGGAAATAGAGCGCAGGCACCTATGATCAAAGACAGCTAGCCACGCTTTTCATGTCTTCCACTCTCAGTGGCCAGGTCTCACAACCATAAAGGAGGACGGAGCGGGCTGATGAGCAGTACACCCGCCCTTTGGTCGATAGTCGAACATCTCGTCTACACCAGAGTCGGCGTAAACTGGTATATGCGAAACGAGCCCTCTGTATTCGGGCTGAGATTTCGTCAGAGATCAACCCGTTGGCACTGGCTGATGGTACTTCCCAAATAAGTGAAGCGGTCAACGTGCTCTACCACTTCACTTCCTATTTTTTAAACTAGGCGTCGATGTAGTCCAGTCCTGTAACATCATCTTGCATTTGGCGGGAGCGAATCGCATGCCAAACATTCGTAGATTACGGCTCAAGGTGTTTAGAAGACTGCATTTTGTCAGCATCTTCGCCTAGAAGGACTATATCGTCTGCATATTCCAAGTCAACGAGATTATTCCCTGGTAGCAAGTCAATCCCTGAGTCGCTGAAGTCACCTAGGGTTAAGTCCATTAACACATCTATGATGAAGTTGAATAGAAAAGGAGATAATGGGCATCCTTGACGGACACCACTGGTCGTCATCAGTCCAGATGACAGCTCGCCGTAAGCCCTCACCTGGCTGTATGAGTACGAGTAGAGTGCCTTAATCAGTGCAATATATTTTCTCGGAATTCCCTTTACAGCCAAGCATCTCCAGAGAACTTCTCGACCGACAGAGTCGAATGCTGCCTTTAGGTCAAGAAATATAATGACTGTTGGACGCCGGTAGGAATACTGTTGATGAAAAATCGTCATAGCCAGTTCCACAATGTTTTGTGGTTGTTGTCTGCGATACCCGAGAAGCTTATTGACTATTGGGAAAAGTGTTCACCAATAGTAACCAGGTTTGAAGTGAATTGCTTCACTGATGAAGCAACCGATTTCCTATTGAAACGAATGATTCAAATCGTGAGGAAGTGGCCAGTTGTGTGAATTCGAATGAAAATAATCACTACAACAACTGAAAGGAGGGATTTGATGTGAATGCATTTATTTAGTAAACGAAGCATTCTGTGTTAAATGTAATACTTCGAATCGACTGGACGTACATAAGATAGTTTTCGAGGGTCAGTGTTGAATACTAGAGGTCTCATCTTGTTGGTTGACATTGACAAAGCTTTTGGTACTTGAGCCACTTTGCTAGGTGAGCATTTTAAGACAAATTCATGTCTGTGATGGAGATGCATCTTCCTCCAGTGGTGGCCAGTTCTGACGGCGCAGCATGTAACACAACACATGCTTCAAATAACTAGTGAGAAGCTTTTACGGCATCATGGAAAGTGGCTGTTCAGCCTGTCAATGGAAAAAGGCGCTGTAAAATTTACGTACATGGAATAACCTTCTAGAAGGATGTTAGTGTCCAAGGAGCACTTCAACTAGGTCTATACCTAGAAGACAGTCGGTCTTCCTCCAACCTGAGCATGAAGAGCTAGTAGGCACCGGTCCTCGAAATTATACTGAGGTTATAAAAGTTGTCTCTAATCGTTAGTGAGGTGAATCAGCAGGATCTGAGTGGATGCCTCCGAAAGTGTCTAAATACGGTGACAACAAATAATAATTGGCTAGATTGACTGAGGTACTAACTGATGTATAAGAATCCCACTCAGCTCCACAGGATTGACGTAGATCACTGATTATCCTAGTTACTAAGACTGGAAATCAATCTTTCGGTGATAATTGTAGAATGGCTGACTAACACAATTTAATTTATACGATGTTGATGTTGTTGAGTCCACGCATAATCTTACGACGATGAAGGGTAAAGCAAACCTGAGAAAACCAGGTATTCTATCGGCCCATAGGAGTGTGAACTAATTACAACTTCAGTTCAAGGGAGGTTCAGGGGAATTGTCCTACTTATTGGCGCTTGCTGATTTCTTCACTTGAAGACGGCTTTGGACGATAGAGAGGTATTTTGATAGACCTTGACTGTTAAGGGAGTTGTGATATCTCTTTCTCACAGACCGAAATTCCTGCAACCAGGAATCAATACAAAACACGGCCTGGTGATTAAAAAGAGTTGATACTTCCTGATTGTAAGGACACACAATAGCTGAATTTAACATATCCATGACTTAATAGTAACATCTATGATAACAGAATTTAGTGACAGGGATTCATTTCTCCAATGAAAGTGTACTTTGACTGAGTATCTAGACAACTCAACTATTCCCAGCCACTTACCAGTGAGTACAAGTGTGTATCACTGCAAACTTAGCTGACACAATATAACTGTAAACTTCGATTACACAACGTGGCTCTACTTCGGAAATCAATGTAAACTCAAAACAAACCTAAGGCGTGAGACGACAAACTCTGTCTAGTGTTACTACGAATAAGTACTTTGTATGAAAATGAAAGCAGATAGATGGACTGAATGCCTTGAGGAATTATTTTTACTAATACTTTCGTTTCTTTTTAAGATACCTGAGAAAATGAGTACTTATAATTCAAAATTACTTTAAAAGTGAGAGGTGATAAGATTAGTTAAACTAATCTAGATCGTAATTTCGCCGAATGCTTAAATATGTGAAATTACCTGATATAATTCAAGCTGCTCATTAGTGATGAAGAGAATCTCGTAGTTCGAACACCACACAAATCCCAAAAGTGCTGCTGATTTATTCTGTAAAGAAACGATTAATTATTATGTGAGAGTATACTTACCTTGCAACTTTGAGAATACTGAGCACCAATGGGACAGTTATCCTTAAAATTTAAGAAGTCAACAGACTGGTTATTTCGCTGTATTGCCAAGACGCGATTATCCTCAGAAAATTTGATGCTCAGAACTTCCCCCTGATCATCTATGCTAAAACAAATTTCTGTTGTTAAGTTTCAAATTAAAAGCGCAGGTAAGTCAAGAAGTACTTCTGTAAATTACATGTTTAGGGATCAATTTTTATAGTAATGTAGTGTATTCTATACATTGGAAGCATGGTAAACTTAGCTTAGTGAGGGAATCACAATGAGTTGGAGCGTTCGCACCAGGAACCATAACGTTAAAACGGACCAAGCATTTCAGTCAAATTCATTCATTCAACATTCAACCAATAACACCTGAAACCAGCTACACTAAAGGTGGCTCTTGTAATCAAATAACCCAGTGGATAATGGTTTGGAATTCTAAACGAGTTTGAGTGAGAATCTAGTCACACTGTAGATGCAGGTACATCCACCTAACAAGTACGAAATAACACGAAATGCCCGTCCTGGAGTCTGCTACTAAACACCATGAACCAAATAATATTTGATTCAAATTTTAATTGAATAACAAAAAATACACAGTTAAAAACATTCAATACAGCAATACTAAAGGATAATTCCCCCTACTCTGAGAACAATCAAATTTTTGACTACATCAAATGAGATAATATATAATGTGTAGAAACCTGAAACCATTCAGTTATAACCGTTATAATTCTAGCTTATATGGAAAGTAACATGTTCATGTAACAACCACTGATAACGGTGCTACTAATATATTATTTAAGGTCCTATGGTCCGTAATCATGTCTTTTTTTTCTTTACGTTCCCAGTGGAACATAGGGCTTCAAGCTTGAAGTTGCGGTAGCAGTGGTGTTTATTTTTACAAGATGGCGTTGCTAGCCTCATGCTCAGCCTTCCCTCTCTACCAGTCTTATTACTGTCTTAGCGAGGTAAAGCAGCGCGTCAGTCAGGGATCAAACTTCGGATCACATGCGTGGTCAGCGAGCATTTCACTGATATGCTACTGACGCACAGTCATATGTGTACAAGGTAGAAACCTAAGAGTTACCAACTCGAGAGAGATAATCAGGTTCCAAGGGAAGACTTCAACAAAATCTAGAGCGTGGGCATACTCACTAGTATCGTTATAATTGCGAAACTTCTTGACACGAAGAGGGATTCAACTACAACGACTGAAAGACTTCGCCGTAATGTTTGACTGTCAAAACTATGCCGGCAATATATTAAGCTAGTTAAGACATTCCATTCGAATCCAAAGTGGTGCTTATACGTATATATGGAATAAATAGTTGATTTTCAGGAACAAATATAACACTGTTCCGTCAAATCATCAGTAGCGAAAAGATATACACCATTTAAGAGGACACTTCTCTTGTCCTGTATTTTCCAAATTTTTGATAATACAATCTGAACCAAGCCAAGCTGGACAGACAGTGAATGACATTACCCTTTAGGTAATCAATAAAAAATGCACTAAGACGGTTAACAATACGGCTTACCGAAAATTTAGTATGGTGTCATCCACAACGGATTTGACATTCACACCCATAGTACCACGTGACCTAAGGGTGAAAATCTAAGTGTTCACAGTTAACATTATACTAATTACATGTTTGCCGGCATCATCAAAAAACACACTGTTTAGCGGCCCTGGAGGCTCGAAAATAGTGACTTTTGTAGAAAGATATAAAAAAGCACTTGTAACTTCATTATGTGACATCATGAATTTAGATATGTTGTATTTTATTTGCTGACACGTTAAACGTTTCCAACCGCCTTGGTTTGTAATCGGTCACTAGAAGTGGAGGATTTTTCAGTGATCAGTATTCTGTAAGACAAAGAGAACAAAAATGTCTATATTAGCCTATTTCTAATTCACATGCAATAACTTTTACCAACAATATAGTTTTTGAAATAGACTTCGGGTGAATTTGATGAGATACTCAAAAGGAAAGCATTCTGAAGGAAACAGAAACCACAAGAAAACTCCCATAAGTAAAATAGGATTTCCGACTTGCTTTAGTTACCTGGATACAACAAATACAATAGTAAAGCTGAGATGCCTGGCAGGTGGTGACATTTTTGTGATAAGATCAAGAAACAGAGGTAGGCTTACAGTTCTATTACACTTCTCGCTGTCTTTTAAGGACAGGATGAATGATAGGCAATAACTCAAAGAAACGAACTATGGAAACTTATCAATCACAATTCCAAGAGCATGTATAACTAAAGTACACTCCTGTCTCGTACCTCTTTCTTTTATTTACCTGAATAATCTCCTTCCTCTCTGGTGTCAGGTTTTGTGGTTAGTTGCCATGTAATTTCAGGAGCTGATTTTCTGTTCCTGTGAGTTCATAGGGAACATAGTGCTTGATGCTTTGAAATTCTAGTAGCGGAGGTATTTCTACGCTTAGCTTCCCCTTCTTACCGGCTCACCACAGGACAGGTGACATCTAAGAGTGCGGCGGTCGGGGATCGAGTCCAGACCATATGCATGGTTAGTGGGCATTGAAACACTAAACCACAGACGCATAGCGATGGGGTAACATTTACGCATCAGAGTAAGAAGAGCAGTTTTCTGAGGCTTTTCGCGTATACAGAAGGATTAACTGTGGCTTTCCATGTCTCCTTTTAAGGTCAGGTTAGAGATTATTCTTGGGAAAGGAGGTAAGATTTCCTACAAAATGAAGGAAATATACTTAAACCAACTGGCATTTACTTTTCTACTTAAATACAATAGTTTAAACAAGTGAAAAGGCACTCATTTTCAAAAGATCATGCAAAAGGAGACAACAGTCACGACTGTCAAGACTTCACTTGTGAAAATCCGCAACAGAGACCATTTACATGGATCGGATATTTTATGTACCAGGATACGGGCTACATTAATAGCGTACATGTAAATAATATTACACAGTTGTCAGAGCCGAAGTGAAGTAATTGCCAACATAGAGAACTGTAGTTGAATATCGACTGATACAGTTATTGAGCCACGTCAGTAGCGACGTTAGAAGGAGCATTGTCTTACTAAAAAACACCTGACTCAAATAAATCATGTAGGCTATGGCTGTCAGGTAGGTTCTTGGAGTAGGACCATGCGTCAATTTACGCATGTATACGTCTACCTCTCAGCGAAAATACAGCATAACATTCATATCTAACTAAGAAATGAATATGAAATTTTCAAAACTTCAAGGTAATTCCTACTCAGAAGAAGCGTATGGCTACTCTCAGTCTTCAGCAGAAGATCTCGAGTGCAGTGAAGCTTTCCTTAAACTCAGTTATCCAGAAAAGTAATGGAATATGAGCCACACTTATTCTGTGAGGGCTAGTAATAGTAATCCCGGATGGGGTATGTGGAGAGAGTCTGGAAGTGTTTGTACCTGGGTTTTCGCAGCCTGACTCAAGCTGAGTTCTCCCGTCTCCCGATGCACGGAGAAGCGATAGAAGTTCAAAATGCTCCTGCAATAATTGCTTTGAAGAGACAGAGAAAAACATCCCGAAGACATACTAGAAATACTAACGTTTGAGAGACCAATAACTGAAGACAGTAAAAAAGGAAAATGCATCACTAATAGCTCGAGACAGAGGTGCAACGCTGCACAATGGGCAAATTCTTCAATATCAAAAATAGGGCGTAACGTTGACTATATCCAAAAGCTTTGAATCCAAAGTAGTTTGCAAGGTGGAGAGAACTTCAAGGGCGAAAGAGCAGCGGGTGAGAATAATTTTACGACGGCTTCATCCACAATGAAGCCTTAGAACACAAGTATACTTACATCTAACATTTAATTAATGACCTTAAGGTTTTAAACTTTTTGATCAGAGCACATGGCAGTGTTTGTATGTTAACGAAGAATCAATGATTCAGTAAGTTAATGCTCTACGTAGGAGGACTTCGACTTAAATTATCTGCATAGGACGTAGCACATTCAAGTCTTCTTAACGACCTTCTACAAGTGTACCGTCTTCGATTAATTTTCCTGGCAACAGCAAGGAATAAACACTGAGGTCAAAAGACCTTGAGTCTACCAATAATATTTTTCTATTCGAAAAGTGATATGCATTTTTTAAAGCGGTTTCATAAGACATATATGTGATTAAACTGAATTATACAGGGAGAAGTTTAAGAATAGCGTCCCAAAACCTTCAACATTCAATGACCTTGAACGCAAGCTGGTGATTGGTTGAGGAAGCTTTCCATTATTCTAGCGCTAAAATGACGCCTGTTCATCTGCTCCGATGCAAATTTCAATCAGAGCACGTTTTTTAGTACTGCTTAGACAATGGATTAATAGGACATATATCTCAAAGATGGTGCAAAAACTGATCCAATTCTTCCATAGAATTGTCTATAGACATATAAAACCAGTGTCGATACAAAAATCCAAGTTGCTGTATATCACATAGCATCCGGAACCATGCGGGTTTTAAGGTGCACCAGGATCCTTCGATAGAATTTGTATAAGTTTGTAACGGTAAATAATTCCCCAAATTTATTGACCACAGCAATCACCCATCATGGCGTACACTTCGTGGACCCTCGAGGTATGATAATCTTCTTAATTCCATCATTACTGGAGGATGGACGCAACACATAAATGTACCCACTAGGTCCAATAACATTCTTGATCTTATATTCACGATCAACGTAGCACCATCTACAATTCATGTGGGACATGAATTCCCAGGTAGCGATCATAAAATAGTTGCATGTTCGTTTAACATTTCCCCAGAAACTATACACAGAAACGAAGTTAGTCGGACACCTATAAGACCATACACGCGGGTTGATTGGGACTTGTATCAGGACTTGATTAGATACTCTAATTGGGATTCCTACTTTACCAATGACTCCTTAGAGGAAGTCCTTAAAAACTTCTATGACAATATACAGTCGGTTAATGATGTCATAGCGCCTGTGAAACTGATTAAATTCAAAATCCCTCAAGGTGATTTTATTCCAATATCATTAAGAAGAAGTTTGCGGAAGCATTCATTAAGTTACTATAGACATGACGACTTATCGTCGTTAATCGCTATCAAATCAATCCTCATTAGAATCCATGAGTTAAAAAATCTAAGTCTTAGGAATAAAGAAACGCGGGCAATTCAGTCGCCACATAACACTGGAGAAATAGCCAAACTCTTCAAAAGTAGGTTAACTAACTCCAAATCAACATATCCAAAAATAATACACCTAGGTGGCATTACTCACGAAAGTGCTGAGGATATATGTGAGGTGTTTAGCACGCACTTTGCCAAACTGTACACTCTAGAAAATGACCAGGATATAGATTTCCCTCGTAAAACAGAAAAGTGTCTAAGCGATGTAGTCTTAAACGCCCAAGAAATCGATAAAGCTATCACAACTCTTAAGCTTACTAATACTCCCGGCCCAGATGGAATGTCTTCCGTCCTCTTAAAAAATGGTGGAAATGACATGAATCTACTTCTTCTCAAGATATTTTCAACTTCGATAAGGAGTGGAACATATCCAAATAGCTGGAAGAAATCCTACGTTGTACCCATTCACAAAACCGGACCTACAGCGGACATAGATAATTACCGCCCCATCAACATTACTTCCGTAGTTTCACGTGTGATGGAAAAGATTGTAAAGAAGCAAATTGTTCAGTATTTGCTCTCGAATGACTTAATATCCCCTTTCCAATACGGTTTCCTAAATAGAAGATCGTGCATTACGTGCCAGTTAGATTATTTCGACCACATTACTGAATGTGTAGACAAAGGTCGTTCGGCAGCAACATTATTTCTAGATGTTAGGAAAGCTTTTGATAAAGTCCCACATAAAAGACTCATACTGAAACTCCTATCTTATGGAATAAGTGGAAGGCTTCTTGAGTGGATAACTTCCTTTCTTACAGGAAGAGAACAGTTAGTTAAAGTCAACCATCACTTATCAACATCCAAACCGATAACCAGCGGCGTGATACAAGGTAGTGTTCTTGGCCCTACCCTATTCATTGTATTCATAAATGATATTGTCTCTATGATCAAGTATGGCAAGCCATACCTCTTTGCAGATGACCTCAAAGTTGTCTATGATTTTGACTATAATGATATGAATATTGTTAGTAAAATCCAAGAAGACCTAAATAGTCTATGTAATTGGAGTGAAAAGTGGCAGTTAACGTTCAATCCAGCTAAATCTGGGATAACATACTTCGGACGTTGGAAACCTAGCATGTGTCTATACATGTACGGTGACCTTGTCTCAAACACAAACACAGTCACAGATCTCGGGATAACATACTCAGATCTTACCTTTACTGAACATGCAAATAAGGTGGTATCTGATTGTAAACGTCTAACCGGCTTTGTGCTACGCAACTTTTACACTCCAGAAGCCAGATTAGCCATATATAAGATATGCATTCGCCCCAAACTTGAATACTGTGCCCACTTATACAGTAGCTTCAAGTCGGCAGACAGAAAAAAGTTGAAAGTGTCCAAAGATTCCTTACGAAACGCATATTAGGCTATGGTCAGCAAATAGAATACCTTGACAGATGTATTCGACTGGACTTAGAGCCCTTATGGTTAAGGAGAGTGAAGTGCAATTTATTTCTCTTATTCAAAGTTATAAGAAAGCACTGTAACAGTAACTCGTCCATAACCTGGGCTAATCCTAAATCGTATGGACTACGCAACCACAACTACCTTCTCAAGGTTAACACCCATAAACTCACCACTAGAGCTAACTTCTTCACCATTAAATATTGCAAACTTTGGAACCAACTACCCTCTGAGATAAGATCCTGTGAAAGGCCTGACAGTTTCAAAAGGAGCCTAGAAAAACATATAAACATGTCCACCCTAGCCCGCCTCAAAGATCTCAACTGCTGGTAGAGTGGAGAGACAATGGCTTTTCAATATTTAACTACGGAAAGTACACTAGTCCCAATACCAATATAATAACACTTAGTAATTATGTAGGTTCAATACTTGAAATTCGATTGTCATTAAAATACTTAAAATGATTAAAATAGCTATGCGGCAAGTGTTCTCTTGCTTTACCATGCTTGTTTCCCTTATAACACTCAGTTATTGAGCCTAATGTATTCTTTGATAATACGAATTATGACACTGACTATGCTCTTATTATACATAGATTGATTTACTTTACGACTACCTGTAGTACTAACTACCCTTCTGTAGTATTGTTAAACAAATGCTGAAATTTTGTTGGTTCTGTTAATATCTTTTTATAATATGTTTAGACACGTTACTTTGCAATGTCAGATGTCTACTATATACAAGACTGTCATGATAATTTAGTACACTAAGTCCTGCCAACCGACCTTACCTTCAGTTCATACTACCTACATTGATCCCTAACTATATTGTTCTGCTGAATCTTGCTTCACTATTCACAAAACCTATTCTTTTTATTCTTTAAGGTTCTAACTTCTTGTAAAGTAATCTGTTCATTAGGACGCATGCATACATATATAATGTTCATAAAGATGTACGCGGAGACCTATTGGAAGCACTCATTAAGAAAGCTAGGGAGATGGAATATGAGGTACGAACATGTCTGGTACCAAGCAATATATTTGCGGTAGCCATAATAATCATAGTCTCAGAGCTTAACATCAAAAAAGGAGGGAGGGTGGCGTTAGCTGATCAGTAGATATGGTGGGGGTCACTAAGGTGAATCGCCCCATTCTGCAGGAACAGCAATACACAAATTAAAGGCTCGAGATATTTCTGATTTTTATGAGGGCTTAGATCTTTATCTTGAAAAAGATAATAATGAACGCCTTGACAGATCATGCTTCTACCTCTAAATATATACTATTCGCCCAGCCTATTGTTGAGATGCGACCATGTGGGATGTGCACAGTTTTATGGGGCATCTTATAAACTAACTTGCTGTCCATTGACTGATCTTTAAATACCACTTCACAATGTCTTATCTCATTCATTTTCCAATAACGTCTTTACTTGATCCTCATTATATCCCATTAAACCTAACATTTTACAGCTCTTTATGACTTATTATATTCCTACTCTCTGAAGGGTACGGTTGTACATTAAATGCACAAAAAGGTATAAAACAAAAACAACTGGCACAACTGAGGATAAATGTATTAAAACCAAAAGTGGACATCATGATAGTACGAGGTATACGTGTAGCATTATACATTGCAAATGAACGTTGTCAGCCTAGGGAGTTTATTTTATTAATGCATTTATTAATGATACTTGCACTTACCTATTTCATTACAATTTAATGATTCACCTCAGCACTTTTACTTTTCTAAAACAGCTTTCAATCCCTTGTAAACGTTGTACTTACCTCAATATTGGTTGGTTATCGTATGCCGACAACCACGGGATGAAAACGAAACGAAGTCGATTTTCCCGCTCAACCTGGAGGACAACTGTACAATTCAATAACTATACAGCCTAGTTCAGACAATGTGTATTTATATATATATCAAATATTTAACTGTTGAAACATTATTAACTTGTAGACAATCTACGATTTGATATTATATCATACTTGATCGTGCCTGTAAAAATGGCATGCATTTTCATGTAAATTTATATGTTTATATGAGAATATACATTATTATTATTATCATTGAATGCTGACCACCACTGTTTAAGTCGACTTGTTTAGCTGAAGGCTTCCGGTCAAGCATCCCCGCCATTGGGTACCCCGTCGTGTCACGTGCACGATCACCAGCCAGCTAAGCCTTCGTCTGACGGCTTGTTTTGGTCCCGAGATATATCACGTAGTTTGGACGATCAAATTTTGGCTTTTGCTTTGTTTTTGGTACGCGAGAATAAATAAGTTAGAGGTTGCCGAACAAGAGATTCGGTCTAAACTATTGAGCCCAACCGCGAACTTCACCCACGATAAATCCGCAGATAACCCGCTGAGTTTGCTCCATTTTGTATTTTTTCTCGTACCATATATAATTCGACATAATTTTCGTCATGAGTGATCTTATTCCCAAGGTCATTCGTATCCGCTCAACTCCTAAAACCATTCAGCTCGTACCATACTGGCCAGATAATGCTGAAACGTTGTTTCAGATAGCTGAAGCAGATTTTTGTGAGCATGGGAC